ACTGCGGTGTGACCAGTGCCCGATAGAGGGGAAGTATCACCTCCTTGGACCTATTCATCATGCATCTGCTGATGCACGATAAAGTGCCATTGGCTTTTCTGATGGCTTCATCACCCTGCCGACTCATGTTCATCTTGGAGTCCACTAGGACTCCAAGATCCCTTTCCACTTCCGTGCCACCCAGCAGGTCATTTCCTAGGCAGTAGGTGTGCTGACATTTTTCCTCCCTAGGTGCAGCACTTTGCATTTCTCCTTGTTGAATTGCATTCTGTTGTTTTCTGCCCACTTGTCCAACCTGACAAGTGGGCAGAAAATGCCCACTTGTCAGGTTGGACAAGATGTGAACGTCCAGCATGCCCACTTGTCAGGTTGGACAAGATGGACAGATGTGAACGTCCAGCATGACCAAGCCACATTGGAAAAGGTTATGCCAGAGGTTAAAAAGATGCGTCTGATTGCCCCCCCCGCCGGTAGTCCCCTGACAATTCACGTAGGTTATACCACGGAACATATCTGGTTTACAGCCAATGACACCGAAACGGGGGAACTCGCGTACACTGGTCACTGCACACTCAAAAGCCACCAACATCGGTATGGTTGTCTAGGGAAGGTTATGCTCGCGGCTCAACTAGGGGAACACCTCGCAGCGAGCCCAGGTGTACTTGTTGCACCCGGCGGCACCACACTAGGATTACTTAACCCTAGCAGAATCCACCCGGAGTATCAGGGCACGGAGAAGACTTGGAGTGCCCTGGTCCTTCGTCACCAGTATCACTGGTCGGCGTGGCAAGTCGCTGACGGAGAATTGATTCCGGCTGCTGAAGAGGATGATCCCATTGTACTGCGATTGTACGGGACCACGTCCCCGGCATGGATAGCTTCAGATGGTATAGCCCGTGATGGCGGAGGGTATGGATATTACTGTGACCCTTGTCACGACTATGAGCTCAAAACGTCCCATCCAGGAGAGTCAGTTCAAGCATCTGAACTACGAGGTTTTCAACTAGCTCTTGAACACGCCTACCGTCACCACGACGGGACGCTTCCGGTACCTGTCATAGCCGTAGACTCAGAATATATATACAGGATTGTCACCGGAAAGGCACAAATTACAGAACACACAACCCTCTGGGACGATGTCAAGACCATTTTATCACATTTCTCTGTTCGCCCCTTGATCAAGCACACGCACTCTCACCAACCTGATACGGACCCCGTGTGTGCCATCATAGATCAGCTACTGGCACACCGAGGATCCATAGATCAAAAGGACATACCTCAGTTACACGTCACTGACATCATAGACACCGACCCCTTTCTCACTTGGCTCCACGAGCGTTGGAGACACCTCGGAGCAAAAAGAGCGCAAGCTCGCTGGAGGGAACAAGGCAACAAAGGACCGAGCGTAGAACAGTGGAAAAGAATAATCCAAGCCTGCTCTGGCTGTGCGCGAGAGAAACCGGTGCATCGCAAGCACCAAAAGGGCGTCTATGACCCAGCGCACTATGCTCCAGGGAAGGTATGGCAAGTGGACCTGCTCGGGCCACTCCCAGGAGCCAAGGCACCGAACAAGGGGCTAGTGACTGTAGACCTGGGAACCCGTCAAATCCTTGTTCTCCCCACGAAGAAGACCACTGCTCCCATAATTCAAGGATGTCTACAGCTTGCTTTCGCCCATTGGCAAGTGCCCCACATCATACACTCCGATGGAGGACCACCTTTCAACTCCAAAGGCTTACAACGGTTTGCGATAGAGCATAACGTTCAGTGGCATCACCATCTACCCTATCACCCGCAGTCCAATGGCGTCGTGGAGCGCCAGATAGGACTATACAAGGAACAGTTAAGGCTAAGGGAAAATGGATCATTCAAGAACTGGACCAAGTACAATAATGATGTACTTATTACCATGAACGCCACTAAAGCTTTGTGGGATGAACGCACCCCAGTGCCACGTCCGGCTTGGAAGCCATGTTACTCATCCCAAGAAACAGTGTGGCTAACCATTCCCACGGCTACCAGTAAGCGCCCGACCCCAGCTCCCGGTGTTGTCCTTAAACCTGGCGAGTATCCGAACACCTATTTTGTCTCTCTTGAAACAGTTTCATCCACACGCACCGTCTTGGCCCATCATAATTGGCTAAGTTGATGCTGCACAGTTTAGTATACATTACTAATGAACCCCAAGATTTGTTTTCCAGCCCGAAACGGCATGAAGTCGCCAATGCATGACATGGTGTGAAACTCGTCGCCGTGAGTGAACCCATTGGCAACGACCCCGGCAAAAACGTCGGGCTGCATCCGGACAGACACAGTTGGACTTACCCTTGATATCATTGTTTAATGTTTTATTATGTATTTGTATTAGGTGTTGTATTTTGTGTGTTTTAGCTTTATATATATATATATATATATATATATATATATATATATATATATATATATATATATATATATATATATATATATATATATATATATATATATATATATATATATATATATATATATATATATATATATATATATATATATATATATATATATATATATATATATATATATATATATATATATATATATATATATATATATATATATATATATATATATATATATATATATATATATATATATATATATATATATATATATATATATATATATATATATATATATATATATATATATATATATATATATATATATATATATATATATATATATATATATATATATATATATATATATATATATATATATATATATATATATATATATATATATATATATATATATATATATATATATATATATATATATATATATATATATATATATATATATATATATATATATATATATATATATATATATATATATATATATATATATATATATATATATATATATATATATATAGGGAAAAGGAAGTTTTCGAGCCTAAACATGTTCGAGATTGGCATTTGGTCAAGGGGGCATGTGATAAAGAAAAGAAAGAAAAAATGACCAAACGCCAAACGTAGGAGCAAGTCGTGCTCATGGTATGGGGGAGGCGATGGGCGCGGCGGTCCCGGCCCGCGCTGATTGGCAGGGGGTGGGTGGATGCCGCCCGTTTAAAAGAAAAAGCGCGCGCCAAAAAGGGGGGACCTGCACAATATCGGAGAGGCCTGATCACCCTCACCGGAGGTCCTGCGTCCACGAAATCCCTTCCCCCCGGGTGAACTCGAGTCACCAGCGAGTTTAATGGTGAAACAGCTGTCAAGAAGTTTTTTTTTCCTGCATAAACTGTGAGTAAAGCATTTACTTATCTCACCGCCTCCTTGGTGTTTTTCTGTCGAAGGAGGGAGAGACAGGAGAAGGAGGAATAAGGCCCCGAAACCCTTTTGTCCCTGGCCTGCTCGCATAGTCTGGGTCCAACCACCCATCGTCAGGTTGAACACTATGCTGGGACCCCCCCATGCCTGTCCCCCGGTCCTGCTCACCTGCCAGCAGCAGCCGCCCCCACGGCCCCTCTCTGCCCCCATACACCTGGGTTCTCTGGGCACAGGGGGTCTAGGGGGTGATGACCCTTCTGCCCTCAGAAATGCCTCCTTCTCATGCACCTGGTTAACCCTGTGTGGGCTGCAGCCCTACCGAGCTGCATTCTGTGCCCCCCACCCAGGGCCTAGGCCCCTACTCCCAAGGCTTGGGGGGGCAGGGCCCGGACACCTGGATCCCATGGGCAGCACTGAAGCCCCTGTTTCCCCACACCCAACGCGAAGACTGGGGGCACAGCTGGTGCCAGGGCACTGCCAGGGGAAGCTTGCAACCCCAGGCATTCCCCAATTCAGGGGGATGGTCACTGGGATGATGTGGGGAAGGCCCCCACCCTGCCCTGCATGGGCATTGAGACACTGGAAGTTGTGGCACTTCCTCCCCCTTATCTGCACTGCCCCCCACCCCCCCGGTCAGCCAGTGCCAGGTTACTGTACCTCCAGGTTTTCCCAGACATGTCCTCTTTTTTGGCCCCCTGTGCTGTGCTGGGTTTTTAAGATAAGAGCTAATGTCCAAGTTTTCTGCTCTCCCGGACGGGCTGGGAGCAGCAGGCAACGTGATTGGCTGTTGGTGGGACAGTGCTTCCCGCAAGGGCTCTGGCAAGCTCCCAGGAGAGGGGGAGCGAGAGAGTGTGAGTGTGAGCGTGCATGTGTGCAATGCGGGAGCTGCTTGGGCAGCAGGGCTGGGGGTGCATGGTCTGTGGGTTGGGAGTGAGGGCTGGGAGGGGGGAAGGGGGCTGCAGGTCAGGAGTGAGGGGCATGGGGGATGGAGAGGGTGACTGTAGGTTGGGTGTGCAGAGCATTGGCAGTGCCAGGGGGCTGCGGGTCAGGAGTGAGGGGC